CCTTTTGCAAAAGGAATTTAGCCAGAGTCACGTAATCGTGAGTCAGATACTCGAATACGCAGACAGGTGCTCCTCTTGCAAAGAAATCGTTCAGGAAAACATAGACAGTTTTCCTACTCCCACTCAATTTGCACGCAAACCTCACATTCCTGCAGTGACAGCGGCCTTTTAACTATCGTTCTTTGTCTTCATCTATCTCTCTACTCACAGCAAAAAGACACATTCACCTCCAACAGACTATAAATTCTGTCACGATGAGCTGCAATAATGGGCAAGCCAATAATTTGGCGTTAAGTGGGACCCTTTGCAAGCCGCAATCCCAAAAAAATGAAAGGAAGGAATTTCCCTCAACAAAAAAAGAGGTTGACCCTTCTCATAAAGATGGCTGGCTAAAAAGGCAATGTTGACTTAGTAGTACTTTCTAGTAAAAGGAGGCAGTTACGTCGTCATGGCCGTCTAAGGTTCAGATTCCCATAGGCGTCTTTCAATGCTGATTTCAAATATGCCTTCCAAACCTGTGGAACATTCCTCAGCAAGGAGTTATGAAGCTACACAGGCAGCAATAATGGCGCGGCGTTTGTAGGCAAGTATGCCTGAGGTTGATATCCTTGCGAGTTTACTCCTTTACCTATGTAGGAATGTTTCCTAAAAATACTTTTATAAACTCGATTGCCCGTGGTTACCATAAAAACGAGTTTACGATGAAGTTCGAGCAGCGTTTGTGCATGGCTGTGAGCAGCTGCGGGCAAACGGTGCTCAGCCTTCATTGCATACATATTATACGAGAACTATAGGCAAACGTTGGTGCAAAAAGAAGCAAAAATTCATCTGGAACTGTTTGCAATGGAAGCAGGAAAGTTCCTGAGAGCCGATCCAAGAACTCTCTGCGAAGATAGGACTACTGATCTCATTGAGCTTCATTTACACTCCAGAGCGCTAGCAGTTTAAGTCAGCGCTCGAGACGACTAATTTTGCCAAGAGGCTAACCATCCGCGACTAATGCGCAGTAGCTCAAGCGAGGAGGACAACTTTCCATGAATTATCGTGGCTTGATAAGATAATAAACTGCTTATTTCACTAAAGATGATTTTTGCGATTAGAAATTTTAAAATGATTAGGAGATCCCCTTCATTCCGCGTATTCATCAGGTGTCACTTTCTTCTTAGCCCTTTACAAAATTCAGTCAGTGAACATAATTGACGTCTTCTGCGCAATTCGTCACATCATTGTCAAAGGAAACGCAAAGAAGCGCGTCGTACGATGACTTGAGATGTGGCTGGGACAATGATCTGTTAGAGATAATAAGTTTGGTGAGAGAAACCTTCAATCAGCCCCTCTGCGAAGCACTCCGAGACATGCGACATGCGGTCCGATACCCCGTTGTAGCGTTAAAGCGCACCATGTGCCCTACTTTTGGATCCTCCACGAATAGTTTCAAGTATCGAGCAACCGTTTCTAGGCAATCCCCTTTTGGGATGCGGCACGCATTCTACTTCCATTTTGTACATTCGTAGTGGCGTTTCTCCCAGACAAGTCTGGTACCAATTAACCGACCCCGGAGGGATGGAAGGCTTGGTTGGCCCGGGCGACTCACGACCCAGGATTTGATCCCCGGACCGCTCGCGTGGTAAGCGTGCCACTTGCCACTACACCACTTCCGCCCAGAGATATAAGAAAACGGAGAAAATAAGTTTTGCCTAGGGACTAGAAGTGAATTTCGTCAGTGAGACTCCATTTCCTTGTTCTTGAATCGAGAAAACCATTTTTGGGCAGTCTTCCCAGCAATTGGGCAGCTTGTCTTCGATATTTCTCCACGCAAGTTGTACACACTTATCATGGTTTGAACCTGAACCAACTTCAGTCTCAATGACGGCATTCAATTTTAATCCCTAGCCAAATTTTAATGGTAATGTTAATTTTTGCACTCACACGACATAGATCAGTTTTTATGCTCAGATCTATCCTTTTGAACTTGAAGAGGGAGACTGCGAGAAAAGAGGCTGAAGAGACCATTTCGTCGATCTTTGTGGTGAGCATAAGTGGAAACTGAGCGTAATGATTGTGTTTTTTCTATGAGCCCGGAGCGGAGCTATACGAATATTACGAATGACCCAGAAACATCATCGAAGGGCGAAGTTGCCAGGAAAATTCGTTCGGACATGTATGTGGATCCAGAAGGGGATGAGTGATTATTGATTATGGAAGTAGCAAAATTGTGCAAAGATCTTCACCGTTGAAAGAATGGCCAAAAGTATCGGGAGATCGTAAATACAGTGGTCATACCTCTCCACTCAATTCTTCGATACAAGGCCAGTAATTGGAAATAAAATGAAATAATGTGGTCGACGATAAGATATTTTTGGAAGATATATTGTTACTTCTTTTTTTACAAGAGGAAGCAGAGGTAGTAGGATTTAGTGAATTAATGGAGACACTGATCACGTCTCCCTATCCAGATCCTCTCTACAAAGCAATCCTAACTCACTGGAACTCAAGCAGAAAACAGAAGAGTGAAAGATGATTTTCCATCCTCACCAAAGCCAGAAAGGGTAAAAGTCGTGCTTCACAAAGATTGTGGCAGACAGAAACTGTAGGCGAAATCTTCGAAGAATGAACTCACAATCAGTTGAAGACTGAGTGGGCAGGAAGGCAACCTCCAAAATTAATCTTCAAAAGCGCATCAATAGCATACGTCCGCCAAGGTCCCTGAGGTTCCTGCATTTTCGAGGATGTATATCTGTGCATGCTCTATAGATGTGGGCCACTTCCCCGTGAGTAAGTGATGTATTATAGCTTTTCTTATCAATGCTGCTGAGCATGATGCCTCTTCTGAAACAACAACGATTCTATATGGTAGTTGAATGCATGGCGCATCTCAGAAACAGAGCAATTGATGTCAAACCATCTATATGTTTTTTTTTCGTTGGTCAGAGATATTCTCTTCTAGTAAGCTACCCACAAGACCTTCCTTAACAATTTCTTGAGTCTGCTACCAATTCTGCTTTCTTCTCCACATGAATTTCACTAGGACAAAGTGGGATCGCCACAGATTTGACTATCATGTAGAATTGCTTTTTGAACTGCTTTTAACTGCTTGGAAAAGGCATTCACCCCATGTGTGATCGCTTGTGAGGCTCGCCAAAGGACAGTTCACGGTGTCCTGCGATCGAGAAGGGCAACAATCAACCGATTCCGGAAACTTGGACAGAATGGTTGGGTTGAGAAGGTGCAGCCCAATTTGGCTACGTACCAGGTTCGCACTATACTTTTGTGCCACTGGCCACTGTGTCTTTGCCTTAAACAAGGCTCAGGCTCAGGTTGACGGCGAAAGCTGCTCTACGGTACTGAATTCCTTAGGCTTCACTGCAGTGTAAGTTCACTAACATTTGAAAGAACAATGAACTCTGTCGAGCTCGAGAGCTCGACCTTCTTCATGCTCACAGCAGGGACATAAGATAAGTGAAAGATAATACGTACACGTAGACGATAAGAGCAATAGAAAAAGGCAAAGGGAAGGCA